AAAGCCTTATCACATGGTTCTCGTATTGTAGATTTAGGAACCATTAAAATTCAATTTAGCATGTCACAAAGGGTATTGTTTTAACCGGAATTTCGGATCCCGAGTTTCGATCCCGTCCTAGTTTTTAAACTTTGTGGTTAATTTTGTCAGATAATTTACAGTTACATTTCAGTTAACTAATTGGACTTTGAAGTACACATATCCATATATTAATTACGAATAATACAGAATTGTAATATCAATATATTTGAGGATTGTTTTATGTATTTATTTTATCCTAAACAAAATCCTGAATAAAGTATAAAGCGTAGTGTAGTATGAGCAATATAAAGAGGCATCGCAGGATCTAGAATTCTAGATAAAAGATATTGGAAGTAAAAGAAAACTTACAATACAAACATATTATATACATATATTAATATCACATTAAATTCTTTAAGTAAATATATAAAAGAATATATAAAATTTAATTCACATACCAATTTTGATAATGCCAACCGTTTATTATAAGTCAAGTTTGAGTAATTCTCTCGTGGATTACTCCAAGAGCAAGGTCTTTTGAAATCACTTAACAAATTAAATAGAATAAGTCTTCGGCTTTCGTTGATCGCATTACCAGTCCCAGGGGCTTCCTAATACCATTTCTCAAATTAGATTCTCCCATATAACGTGATACGGCTTTCATAACACTGTGAGTGTAAGTCTTATTATATTACAATTGCTTTATTTGCTGTACATATCGTGTTTCAAATGTAATTAGTCATCTAGAATGTATCTGCTTTATATAAAATTATTAAATTCAGGTGATATACAAACACAAACACACATATATATGTATGTATATTACGTATATTCTCCTTGCATTTTAATCCGTCGTGAAAATTATGGAAGTATAAAATCTATTTATATATAAGTTTTTTCATCTAAATATATATATACATATATACTTAATCATTATATACAAATTAGTACAACTGCTTAGAGATTTGTGCACTTAAATAAACTGAATTTATACCAACTATATTTACACATATATGTTAGATTTTAAGTTTTAAGTAATATTTAACAAAAGTTGTTTATGTTCAAAGAAACCAATGATAATGAAATTTAATTTTAACTAACAGCCAACAAAACAACTATTTGATTATGTCTTCAAATATTATGTTAGCAAACGGAGAATTCAGTCGGGAATATTCCAAGGATATTGAAAGAACACCATATAAAGTGTAACTTGGAATTACACGTTTGAGCATCCCCAATTTATCATAAGTAAAACTTGCAAAATATTCTACATTTTCCTGGAGTTTTAAACACCTGAAACACTGAATAATAAAGTAATTTTTGTACTTAAATAAACAACCCGTTTTCTCACGTAAAACATATATTTTCTTTGAACAAAAACATAAATACTGATTATTATAATATATTTAAACTATTATTACCTTCTATGAAATAGATGCCTGGCAATTATTTTATTACTCATAATATATTATCAGTATTATAAAACATTCACTTTTTATTTGTAGCAAATTTTGAAGCGAAAGCAATGTTTATTTGTATTTTGTATGTATTAAAATTGGAATAATCAATTCATAGATTTATTGTTCCAAATCAATTCAATGGAGAAATCTCGAAATAAATGTATTTATCTTAAGTTATGACTATTTCAATATCCTTGTATATCAAAAGTTTCTTAAGCTTATCCGTAATTGTTTATCCAAAAAAGTAATGGAAGACATTTAATAAAAAACCTAACAAAATATAATTTAATTTTAAGCAATAAAATAATGAAGACTTCTATTTCTTGAGTTATCGGCGTTTCCTTGAAGATTTCGCCAAACGATTAAGTCATGAAAGGGACAATTGTTCAAAGATAACATCTGAACGTGACAGTTGAGTTGCTAACATTACGGTAATATTAACTTATTTGTATTCAAGCTATACTACACCTTGAAAACAATATGAGAAATATATATTTACTATATTTATATTATATTTACTAGAACACGAATACGCTAACAAAATATTATTAATAATACCTTAACCTACTAAAAGACTTGCTCCTGTCTAGAACTCACGTTAATTCGTTCTTGGAGCGTACGTCGAAGGCAGCCCTAGTAGGTTCTTTTTAATTAAGTTAGGTAGAGAGGAGCTTGGACAGTGGAGGTGAGCGTTTAACGCGTTAGACAGGGGCCCCTTAAACCTACACCTGGGTCACAAGTCACAGTCACTGTTGAAGCTCCTCTCACTACAACGATGGACCCGGCACACGCACAGTGAATACATGGAATGCTGAGAGGTTTCGTCTCATTAATACTATATTGGGTTTTTCAAACATCAAGTGTCCACGTGGCTCTTTAACAAACAAGGCCGGCAACGCATCTGCAACACTCCTTATGTAGCAGAAGTCTATGGGCGACTGTGACTACTTACTATCAGTTAGACCGTCTGCACGTTTGCCCCTTTGGTAATATAAAAAATATAAGCTTAAAATCTTTGAAATTATTTCTATGTCTATTTTTATTATTATTTTCGTCATATTCGTTTACTATGTGTTTCATTGTAATATCAAATTAGATTTTTGTGTGAATACTGTTAACGCAACGTATGTAGTGTGTCGATACAAACTTGTAAGTATACAGTAACCAATACGTAATGTGACCGATAGTTATAAAATAATGTCTTGTTTTTATTTCGCTTGTCACGAAAGTGTAATTAATAAGTACAAATTCATTATTACAATATTTTTTGAAATGCATAGATATATTAATAATCCAGTGTTTAATATAAAACTGTTTGAAATAAATAGTTCAATTCCACAAATTATATTTCCACAAAATATATATAAAAGTTCATTGAGATATATTGCGATCTACGTAATAAAGAAGTACATTAAGATCTCTGAAACGGATTATTCTTATGCTCAGAAAATAATTTTACATATAAATTTCAGTTTTCTTTTCATATACATTCCTTAATATGTTAAAATATTATTTAATATTACAAATTCGTATATTTTTTTAATGATAAACAATGCTCGAGACATCAAAATTACTTACATATGGAGTAATAAGTAAAACCGTCTTTGTATAAGTATAAAAAACGAGGAAGAACATGTCGAAATATTACAAGGCGTATATCCTAATTGGCCCTAATCCCAGTATTTATCAACGTTAGGGTCAAACGCCCAAGGATACATCCTTGACTTCAGATAAGATTAATCTTAATAGCCACTGATCTCGACGAAACTTATATGAACACGTTGTAAATTGGGTAAAGGACAATTCATTGTTCTATCATGAACCGTAAGGTCAAACGACTATGATTGAAGTATGTTTGAAAACTGTATTATTTTTGGTTTAATTGTTCATTATACTCTTACTAGGTTTGTAGGTCAGGTTTGTTCACATCTTTATATATATAACTCTTCTGTGAGTGTGTATGTCACTGAACTTCTCTCAAATGACTGGACCGATTTGATGAAATTTTTTATGTGTGTTCAAGGGGATCTGGGAATGGTTTAAATTCACAATTTTGTCCGCTGGACAATGTTTTTTTTATATTAATTTTTAATTTATTAGTAGTTGTTGATACAAACGTTTTTTTTTGACATTAGATTTGACAACTAACTAATATGTCAATCATTCTGTCACACTTCAAAACACGGAGATTTATGGCTTTAATAGTTAAACTCCAAAAAAATAAATAAAAAAACGTAACAGATATTTCTTGATTATAGGGCGATACGAAGTTCGCCGGGTCTTCTAGTTAAATATAAAATCGTTTTTCATTAGCTATCATTGTAAAAGATTTTATTCGGCCCTTGGAAAAGTACCGTTCGTTTCAACGTGTCCTATTTCTTTGTATCCTTGATTGATATACAAATTACATAACAATGGGCTGAGCTAAAGCGTAGACTGGTAGATACAATCGTATTCTTATATTATAAGGATATAGTAGTTTAGAAAGTTTGAAAACACTTTGAAAATTATGAAACGAGCTTCAAAGGAAGCACTATAACTGTAAGGAGAACGGTTTATTTTATATAAAAAAAGAGTCTTATTTAATATATAAATAAAAATTAAAAAATCTTTGTAATAAATGAGATATTAAACTAAAAAAATATGACATTCTAAATGCTTCCACTGACGATTAATATATAAAACTATTTGCTTTGTAAAATTATTATTTATATTTTAATCACTTTAATACCGGCTGTATATAAAAAAATACAACAATACTCTTGAATCAAATGAAGCCATAGCATAGAAAAAAAAGAAATCTTGAACCCAAAATTATACACAAAAGCTTTTGATGTGTCAAATGCGTTAGTAGGTCTGTGGGTCCGGCCATTGAGACGGCTTTCGTGAAATAGGTCATAATAATAAAGAGAGAGATATATTAAAAATGTCTTCGTCAGCACCGAAGAGATTTAATTTCACGCTTACATTTTTTTGCTCTGTTTGGGAATGGTTATCTCCAATTCGTCTTAATGGCGGGTAAATAAAAACAGACAGCTTAATGGAATTAATATTTACGCCACTTAGAAAATTGTACCAGATATATATATCGCATATATAACATTAGACTTTGTTCTTGACTTCGTTTGCATAATATATTATTGAAGATGTATATGACATTGAAAATAATCATTTAATAATAGAATTAGTTTCTAGGGAATTTAGAACTCATATTCATACTTCATACAATTTCTATGAAAAATTTATTTAACGCGCGTGGTAATATTAATGTAGGTAGAATGAAAATTTGCAACTGTCTATTTAGTTTAACAACATAAACTAGTAGTAACTAGTAAATTAAGTTCCCCAGACTTTAAACAAAGCTCTTAAGCTGCTTAAACTGTGAACTTGGCGCTTAAGAACCTGTGTTTGAACATTTCATACATGTATATTGTATATATTTGTTACAGGATATGGCATTCTGTTAGTTCATCAGCGGTTTTGAGGGTTGAGGACTCTAAAAGCTGATCATTCATCACCATGACCAAGAAATTCGAGTTCAATTGGCAGATACCAGTTCCGGAGCCGCTATTACAGGTAAAAGAATTTCTACAGGGTGACTGGTGAATTACTATCAATATTTGAGGACGTGATATTTGACGATCATATTTGACAAAATAAAAATTAATATAACATAAATATTAATAAACTTCTAAGTAAAGTTAACCAAAAGTTGTGTAATTAATTACGCATCGTATGAACACCCTACAGATTAGGTATTAGGTACACACACACATACGCGCGCGGCGGCGTGTTGTTGTATCAGCACGCCTCCGCACGCGTTCACACTTGGAACACTTGGAACGTGTACACACTTTATTTATTTATACGGAAATTTGGTCAAAAATTAAGTACCTATTTTTTTTACATAATTCGAATGAGAATCATGTACCGAGTATGCTCCTTAAATATTGATAGTAATTCACCAGTCACCCTGTATATAGCTTGTTACTTCTTTACTATTAAGAAAATAGTATTTTGTTGTTTCATGAAATAAATCTTTGACGTAAATTTTAAGTCTCTTGTCAATGTTTTAATATATCAATACTAATAAACTCCTACCTATCTATAACATTCTACTCGTATTAAATTTTTTATACAATATATCACGAAGTTTGTTTGCTTGTTAAAATCGTGCAAATATATATTGGACTGATTTTTAGAGTCTTACAGTTGTAAAAACTTAAGTATTCCTTATTATCAAATATTGTTGCGAAATTTGTATAAAATATTAATAGTTTTATATTTAATGAGATCTAAGATTCGCGAGTATTCATTTTCAATAGATGAATCTTATTTTTCGATATCTCGTCTCTTGTGATCACGGTTGCTGTAAAGTAACCGAAACGTCGGGAATATATACATAGTTTTAAAAATAATAAAATACGCGTAGTAATCTAAATAATATTAGTTTCATTATAACTTTATATTTAAATATCCGGTTATATTTCAGTTCATCAATCTTAAACAGCAATATTACTGAATCCTTAGTAGACTGTTGAGCGGAAAACTTCAAGGTTTCTCGTTTATAAAAGCCATTAAACAAACGCTGTCTTGTTTCAAATAAATGAATAGTAAATATATTTGATGAATTATTTTTTCAGTATTATTTTGTTGACATTGGTTTTATCTGTAATTCAGAATGTATCCTGCCTGATTAAATATTTGCCAAAGGTTGTCAACTTCTGTATTGTGATAACCTTGAAATGGTATATTTATTTGTTTTTTAATTACAAAATTATTGTAATATATTGTTTATAACTGCGATGATATTAATCGAATTTACTTCTAAGGAATGAATGGAAGATACACGATCGTATTTTTAAAATATAAAGACCTATTTATTTCTATTTAGTCAACGTTTTTTCGATAACGAAATAAATGATAATATTAAAAACGAAATATAATTGTAGGTTTAATGAAATGAAACTAATATTTTTCGGATATACTACGCGGTTTGTAAAAATGTACATACTCCCAACGTTTCGGCTACTTTTCATCAACCGTGATCACGGGCAGACGAGATGTGAATGTCTGTCAGTTGGTCTTGTTATTTATCATCTACAGATATCGATTTCTTAATTGATCATTCAAACGAATAAAACTCGTGAAATTCTTAGATCTCATTAAATAATTATAAAGTTTTATTTACGTGAATATTTTTATCTCCTAAGAGCAAAAGTGATGTACATATATACATACATATGTTTATATTGAAAGCCAAAATAAGTGCAAGAAGGATTATTACCCAAAGAATCCATATTAAGATTTCATAAAATCTTTTATACATTATACACTTAAGGGACGTGATGAAAACAATTCTTTTCATTTCGATAAAAATAATATCTAAAATAATAAACTATTATAATAAGTAGGACAATTGTTTATGATTATATTGAAAAGACCTTGCTATAAATAAAATCTTCAATTTAAATTAATTTTTTTCATTGGTATATCAGATTACTGGAAGTAAATCGAAAGGCAATGCAAAAGTCTTTGTAAATTCTATACACTTTCTGTAGGAGATTTGATTACCAATTTGATATCATTGAAAAAAAAAGTAATAAGAGAAAATTATGATATAATTAGAGTTCTCAAATCGCTGAAATCCTTTTTTTAAGTTGAAAAATATATTACTAAAAATTGATAATAGGTACCTATAAGTATTATTTTTATAGATGATTTCGTCAAAGATAAATTTTGTTTTTTTTTGCTCAGTATACATATTGTTTGATTGAATACATAATACATATATAGTATTAATATGTACTAAAATCCAACCCATACTATATATGCGAAAGTTTGTAAAGATATATGTATGTATTGATATTTTTTGCACTGTCCACAAAACAAACAAAATCCACTGAACAGATTTTGATTAAACTTGACATTAATGTAGTCTAGACATTTGAATACAATATAGGATATTAATAATAGAATTTCGTACTTATTATATTTTGTATGAAGATTCGTGACACAGTCGGTTTATGCCGTTACGTTTTATTACCATATCTATTGTTTTATTATTACTATGAGCCTAATTTCCTAATTCACATGGATAAAGACGCGGGCAAAAACAATTATCATTTAAATAAAACTAATATTATTAGGATTACTACGCGTATTTTATTATTTTAACTACATACTCTCGACGTTTCGGTTACTTTTCAGCAACCGTGATCACGGGCAGACGAGATCTCGTAAACTGAAAAGTAATCGAAAATTAGGGAATATTTAGTTTTTACAATCATCTTACACGCGTAGTAATCCGAATAATATTAGTTTCATTTAAATGAATACTCGCGAAAGTCTTAGATCTCAACAAGTATCATTATATACATACATATATCGGATTAATAAATCCCTTGAAATAACAAATTCCTTGTTTTTAAAGAGAGAGATGCTAGCCTCGCTGACGTTTCAAATTCCACTTCTTCTAGTGCGTTCCATGATATTTTAAAATGAAACTTCAATTGTTCTTAATGTTCCTGTATTTCTCGAAGGTTCTTCATAATCACATATTTCAATGATACACACTCACTAAACTCTGAACTCTGCCGTCATACGTCCAGACGTCATATTTATACCAAGATTTAAACATAGTTCTATTCTCCTTTTAAACAATCTTAATTTCGTTTCACTTTTAACAATAATCATGAATCCCTATGAGTTTTAATAATAATTAATGACAGCTTCAAGTTATTTTCATGTCGCATACCTTATTAAGGCTGATACCGCCGATATATAAAAATATATATGATTTTTATACAATCTTAATTTTTTATACAGGGTGCAACATTCGATCGCTGGACAGAAGAGAAAGATAACACGGAGCTTGAACAAAACTGTCTGTTTAAAGTCGACGAATACGGTTTTTTCATTTATTGGAAGAGTGAGGGAAAGGTATGTGTTATATTATTATTATTGACATTAAAAATACTATAAAGATAAATCCATACTTCTTGCTATACATATATATGTATAGTGTTATAGTATTATTTCTTTTCACTTGAATGAATTTCATAGATTTAAATGAAACTATCATCTTTTATATCTACATATTTTTTTATATTATTTCTTTGTTGAAGTGATAGCTATATGTGAAATTATAGAAAACAAATACTTGGTATAGCCGTCAAACAGTTTCATGTACTCGAAAATCTTAGTAATTGTTAATAGACTTAAGTTTAATTGTTGCGTGTACTAAGAAAAATAATTAAAAGCACTTTATATGCAAGCAATGAAAACTTATATACACGAATATTATTCCTTCAGTATAAGAACATTTATCAAATACATTATATACAATTTCCAGTAATGATAGTTTTCAATACATAGCAATGTATACATTTGTTATCAAACTAAATATGAGAATAGTTCGTTCATTCAGCTATTATTATTCTGAATAAATATCATCAGTATTAGAATAGTTATTTCCCCTGAGTAATATTGTGGAATTCGGATGGTTTTGATTTAAATATACCATGAACCCAAGGCCACACGCCGCGCGTACGGTGTTGATAAGGAAAATAAACAGTGTGATAACAAACAGCTGGTAAATACACGGAACGCTGGATTAAACACCATGAGAATACCATAATACTATGAGAATACCATAATACTATGAGTATTTGATATAAATATAAAGTACAAGTTGTAAAAGGTTATATACAGGGTGACTGGTGAATTACTATCAATATTTAAGGAGAATACTCGGTACATGATTCTCATTCGAATTATGTAAAAAAAATAGGCACTTAATTTTTGACCAAATTTCCGTATAAATAAATAAAGTGTGGACACGTTCCAAGTGTTCCAAGTGTGGACCCGTGCGGCGGCGTGCTGATACAACACCACGCCGCCGCACGCGTGTGTGTATACCTAATCTGTAGGGTGTTCACACGATGCGTAATTAATTACATAACTTTTGGTTAACTTTACTTAGAAGTTTATTAATATTTATGTTATATTAATTTTTATTTTGTCATATAGGATAGTCAAATATCACGTCCTCAAATATCGATAGTAATTCACCAGTCACCCTGTATATCTGATGTAAGAATTCTAGAAACTTCTTTGAGATCTAAACTTTCTTAAGATCTATGGTTCTTCGTGAATGTTACTCTGTGCATTTTTATATTTTAGACTTTGTTATGATCATTGTTATTATAAAACATGAACTTATTATTAACACTACCTTTTCATGTGACTTCGTCTACATTTTATAATGATTTTAATTACATCTCCTACTGAAAAGAGGGCAAAGTAATTCATTATTGTATCAGATGATGAAAGTTACATCAAAATTTGCCAATCCTTTACTGAGACCAACAAAATTCAGACAATGATTTGATTATATCATTTTTATATATAGTTAATTTTAGTATATTTAATGTACTTGAGGTTCCTAAATTAATCATTAATGGAAGTTTTTATTAGTATATATATAAAGAACTACAAAACCTTCTTCACCAAACATAAACAATGACAATAATAACAAAAATAGTGCTATCTAAAAAAACAGAAACATATCGATAAAAGTATTTGAAGCCATTAAAACAAATATTTATGTAGCTATAAAGATCAGGAGTAGTTTTAAATGGAATAGAACTACACTCGACGTTAGTATTTTAGTGTAATGTCATTGACCTCGTTCAATTCATTTATGCAATATATAATGAAAATATTTTGGATAAAACATAGATTTTTTCTGTAAAGTTGTAGATGAAGCAAGAAATAATTCTAATACTTCTAATATATATTTAACTCTATATAAATTAGATAAGATCATGTCTATATATTATAAACTCTTTATTTAAATAAAGACACAATATATAAATCATTTATGTGAAAACCAATATTTTAACCGCTCAATACAAACCGAATATTAGGTACATGAAAGCTAACATTGGTTGGAATTAATTTTACTACATTGATTAATATCTTCTCTATAAACTATACTGTGAGTACAAATAGTAATAATAATTAGTTGACTAACATTATATACAGGGTGACTGGTGAATTACTATCAATATTTAAGGAGCATACTCGGTACATGATTCTCAGTCGAATTATGTAAAAAAAAATAGGTACTTAATTTTTGACCAAATTTCCGTATAAATAAATAAAGTGTGGACAGGTTCCAAGTGTTCCAAGTGTGGACGCGTGCGGCGGCGTGCTGATACAACACTACGCCGCCGCGCGCGAGTGTGTGTGTGTGTGTATACCTAATCTGTAGGGTGTTCACACGATGCGTAATTAATTACATAACTTTTGGTTAACTTTACTTAGAAGTTTATTAATATTTATATTTTATTAATTTTTATTTTGTCATATATGATCGTCAAATATCACGTCCTCAAATATCGATAGTAAATCACCAGTCACCCTGTATAATACAAGCTATTAAGCGTGACTTCGTCTGCATAAATAAAAGAAAAAATAAAGAATAAAAAAACTTTTAAGCGCCGAATGCGTCCTGAATCCCACTCGCACATGATAACACTTAATTTAGACATCGGGATAAAAAGTAGGCTACGTTACTCCTTATTACATCAGCTACCTGGCAGTAAAAGTCCCGTCACAATCAGTCCAGCCATTTCAGAGATTAGCTTAAACAAACAGACGGACAGACAAAAATTGTAATAAATGTTGTTTTGGTGGCACCATATACATACATATTCATATGCATGAAGTAAAAAACGGTTATTTCGATAACAAACAGACACTCTAATTTTATTTATTTGTATTGATTTTGTTAACAAATTCTTCAAGTGTTAATATATCTGTAGTTTCACTTTATCTCACCCCTAGATTGTTTACACGATGTCTTTGTTGACTCGATTTGAATGCTTGATCGTTAAATGTCTGTGACTCCAAATTAAACGTTTATTACTCTTCAAAGTATACGTAATTAGGTGAAATCGGGTCAGCTATTCTTATGTCGCTAAAAGCACTTTACTTCTTTCATTATTAGTTTTATATTGTTCAGTAACTGGTAGATTTCTTTGAGAATCCCTACTAATATTATAAATGCGTAAGTACCACCTAAACCATTGAACTGATTTGAATGAAATTTGGTACAGAGATAGAGTTGACCTTGAGAAAGAACATAGGATAGTTTTTATCCCAGATTTTTGAAAGGTTTCCTTGGAAACGCGATATAATCGAACTCCACGCGAGCCGAGCTGCAGGCGGAAAGCTAGTATCAAATAAATTATTCCTTTGATAAGAGCATGTTATTTAGAACATGATACAATTCGTATCGGATATCTTAAATCCTCGTGATATTGAAGTAGGTTGAGTATTTTTACAGCGAGCGTGCAACCACTTGATAGTCAACGTAATGGCTTTTATACGGTTGAGATATTTTAATTTTTATACTCCTTATCATAGATGCATTATATATATCATATTCAATATCATGTCTTGAAATGTATATACAAATTATATGCTGTTTAATTGTATTTAAAAACCTATTAAATCCCTTATAAAAGTAATAAATATGTTATCTTATGGAAAACCTTGTCACCTTATTAATTAGGTCGTATTTATTTTATTGGTATCGAAATTAATTTATTATGTGTTGTGATTTCTTTATTTGTGTTACTTGAACTTTTTGTGTTCTTTAGCTTTTTATTTTCTTGAAAATTGAACAAAAAAATATATACAGGGTGACTGGTGAATTACTATCAATATTTAAGGAGAATACTCGGTACATGATTCTCATTCGAATTATGTAAAAAAAATAAGTACTTAATTTTTGACCAAATTTCCGTATAAATAAATAAAGTGTGGACACGTTCCAAGTGTTCCAAGTGTGGACGCGTGCGGCGGTGTGCTGATACAACACCACACCGCCGACGTGTGTGTGTGTATACCTAATCTGTAGGGTGTTCACACGATGCGTAATTAATTATATAACTTTTGGTTAACTTTACTTAGAAGTTTATTAATATTTATGTTATATTAATTTTTATTTTGTCATATATGATCGTCAAATATCACGTCCTCAAATATCGATAGTAATTCACGAGTCACCCTGTATATTATTTGTTACCAAGGAAATATTACTCGACAAAAAGATTACAAAGTAATATAAAAGTTCCAATTCACCGACTTAGGTATGTAAAAAAATTTATAATATATAAATCTAAAGTATTGTTGAAATTATTTCATATTAAAAATCAAAATAAGAAGAATTTGAACAAGCATTAAATCTCGCGATGTTAAATTGAACTGTCTATCTATTTTCATAAGGTTTTTATATGCAGAGCAACTATAGTTGTAGTAGAAAGACATAATATAGTAAATAAATAGGATAATGCAATGGGCTTTATTGAATTTACTAATCAGTGTTAGATGAGCATAGGTATAAAAAAGCAGATCTCTAGAAGTATTGAAAATAGAGTGTAAAGACTTTGATGACACACAAACAAACATACAGAAACATCTTAACACATCATAGTGACAATTTTTATATATAAAAAATATATATAATTAGATCTAATTATATATATGAACAAAGTTCCACCTGACAGTACCTGTGTTGTGGATAAAATACCAATTAATATTAGTGATGCATTTGGCACAAAGTACTATGGACTAATTAAAACTAAAAATAGTAATAAATACGACAAATTATTATGCCAAAAACATTTGTTCAATTATGCTTCGGCCAACGACTAGTACGGAATCGCACTTACAAATACTAACGTCGTTTACTGTTTATGTTTTAAAATATGCGATTTTTTTTTCATTACAACATTTGTACATAACGCAAAATTTTACTCATCTAATTATCATATTAGATAAATAAGTACATAAAACCGTTTCATGTTAAGAATTTGTCCAGATTATTGTCTGCTACATATCTTTTAAAACAATTCCATGTCTGCTACGTA